TCATCACTGACTGTAGGTACTGTCCCTTGATCTTTGATGTTGGTAATCATGTTTTTTTTAGTGGTACCCTTGAAAGGTGTGATTAGATTTGGGAGGCAAGGTAAGCTTAGCCCCAGATACATTGGGCTTTTTGAGATCATTCAGATAGTTGGAGATGTTGATTTTGAGTTGGCTTTTCCACCTACCTTTTCAACTATTCATCTAGTATTTCATGTTGCAATGCTTTTCTTATACATTCTTAAAGAGTTCCATGTGCTCCAGTAAGATTCAGTCTAGTTGGATGACAATTTGACCTTTGTGGAAGAGCTAGTTGTTATTTTGGATAGAGATGTCACACGATTTTTTTCGAGAGATATTCTTGTGGTAAAGGTCCAATGTAGACGCCATCCAATCAAGGTGGCTACCTGAGAGACCGACATGACTTGTGAGTCCAACATCCCCACATGTTTAAGCCTTCATGTACTTCTTGACCTTTTACATTTGAGGACAAAATTCTTATTTCTCTATTTTTTTTGGTATTTTCGGCATTTAGAGTTTTGTTTATAGATGCCTTATGTCATTTATACCTAGTTGGTTGATGAATGGTAGATTTTCACTCATTTAAGGTCCATTCAACTCAATAATTAGTGTCCTCAATGCCTAATTTGTCCTTTTCTAATAGAATTTTTATGATTTGAAACTATGAAGACAATTGGATAAGGCAAGGACAGATGTTTGAAAGAATGACCAAAATGCAAAAAGAATTGCAAAGTGAACGGTGTTGATCGCCTAGCATCATAGGCGGATCACCAACTGAGCACAACATTGCCCAAAGTGACAGTGTGTAAGGAAAAGATTTAATGCTTGAAAGTCAAACTAAGGTGGTATTCAGCGATACGCTAAACCTATAAGGCAAACCCAATCGAAGTCACTGGCAGGGGTTCAAACACCTAAAGCCTAGAGCTTCACAAGGCGAGCTGAGGAGCGAATGGCGATAGGCTGAGTAGGTTTGGCTGCCCGACTAATGTCACCGAAGTTATCAAACGATAGAATTTTGGGCCAAAGTTTGGGAAAATATAAATAGCCCAAAGAATGTAATTTTTAGGAGAGTGGAGTTGAGTTTTTTTTAGAGTCTTTGAAGAAGACAGTTTTGAGAGTTAGAGAGCACTTTACCTTTGAAGAACACTTTTCTAGCTTTTGGGGTTTAAGAACTTTCTTCTTGAATTTGAAAAATTAATTTTGAATACAAAGTGAGTTTTCTTTTCATTGCTTAATTTCATGTTACATATAGTCTCTTTCATGAAAGGTATAATTTCTTTAGTTTTTGTGATGTATGGTTAAAACCCTAAGATCTAAGGGTTCTCTAATGGGGTTGGTGTTAATTTAATGTAGTGGGTGTTGTGCTATGCTCTGTTTGTTGTTGTTCATGCATGAATTTAGTCTAATTGCCATGTGGTTAACTAATGGGTTAAGGTTGCAAACATAATTCCTACTTCCGATCTCCGGTTGATGCTCGAGAGAGATTAATTGGAGTTGGTAATAACTTGAATACTAGCAATTTAGGTTTGATGTTTGTAGCTTTCTTGAAAGAGAGGTTATGGGTCAGATCTATTTGCCCTATTCTTGAAACAGAGAATAGAGTAAGGTATTGGGTTGTTAAGGATAGGAATATAGATGAGACCGAAAGGACATTCTATGCATATATGCTTTGAGATCGAGACATGATTAGCGTTAATGAAGATGACTTAGCCTATTCATGAATGTTCATCACAATGGAGCAGCATAATTACCCCTATGTGAGATTATATTCCAATCCCGCACCCCTAGATTACTTGATAGCTATTGATTTCATTTAATTATATGTTTAATTGCGATAATTGATAACCAAAGCTTTATATTAAGTTGGTGGTTCGATCCACCCAATTGTTCTTACTATTACCAATGAGCTAATTTTAAAATCAAATTTTCTTGAAAAAGGAATTCTCTACAATACACCGGGATTCGACCCTGACTCTTCGTTAAATTTTTATTGACGACGACCACTTACTCTTTTAATTAGTTTTCTAGGTTAAATCGAGTGTTATCGGTGGGGCTTATATGACGATCACTGGGGTAGTTCATTTGGTTTTTATGCAGGTTTCCCTATTTTAGAGCTTTTGAAGTTTATATATTTGGCTTTGGTCAAAATTTTAGGTAAGTCACCTTGAAATGTGATTCAAATACATTAATTAGCTCGAGAGCATTGATTTTAATTTAATAAGACCTTTGGTTTGGGTCATGAGACTTCTTGGCTAATTTCGAGCTACTTTAGAGTTTTTAGCTAAAATGGAGCTTGGAGTTTGAGATCTACTTTTCATTGAAATGACCTTCGCTGGAAGTTTTGATAATTGCGTTGAGTCCAAAATTCCATTTAGGGTTGGATAGCATATTCATTTGGCATTGGTTAGACCCTGAATGAATCTCGAGGTCCATTCAAGCCTTGGGATTCTATTACAAGTTTCCTAGTACAACTCATGCAAGTGTTGCTGCTCTCAAGGAGCTTGGCTTGATTCAACAGAGCCGCTCTTACGGTGAGCCAAAGTGATGGCTAGTGACACTGGCAGGGCTTTGTCACTATCGATGTTGATCACTCTGGTTATCTGGCTGAACGGGATTTGAGCCACTTCTGTAGAGTCTGTGGGCCTTGTTGACTACAACTCATGTGATAGCCTTACTGTACCGGCAATGTCACTACTGCACCTATCGTCCATCGGTGTGGCGATCATTAAGTGTTATCTCTCTCTCTTTCTATTCTATTTTAACTTTCATAGAAAAGAAGGAGAGTTGGGTGCTCAATTTGAGGAAATTTCCCTTGCAATTCTTGAGCTAGAGTTGGGAATAGTTTAGGAGAATTTTTGGGATTGTCAATCTCTCTTCGAAACACATAACTCTTGTTAATTTCTCCATTTGACTTTTGAAATGGTTATTCTTGAGCTAGCATGGTATAAGGAAATTTTGAGGTTTGGATGAGCTCGGATTGTGCTTAACTTTTTGGCAAAAGTTCCTTGAGTTTTTTGTGCCATATTGACAAATTCAATAGGGTGATTCCGTGGATGAGGAACACAAGCCCATTGTTGACTTGATTTTGGTTCCAAGATTCTTTATTGCTTTATGGGTATCAATTCTCTCATGTTGATGCCTAAATCACTAACTTTTAGCGTGACATTGTTCGAAGGTTGCTAGAAAAGGAAAAGCCCCAATTAGAGGATTCAGCACATGTGTAAATGACATCGAGGTATGCTACGACTTACTAATCTTAGACTTGGCACGTTTGTTGTTTTAGCATGATGATCTTCTAGTGTTTGAGTTGAGTTTTTTAATATGATCCTTGTTGATATTCATATTGTATTCGTTTAGACTTATTTTGAGTATTTTCAAGAACTATGCTACTTTCTCTTGTCTATATTGATGTTCTTGTTCTAGTGGATTAGGATTACCTCGTTGTACTTATTTATGGCCTTAGCCTAGGCATGGCTATTGCATGCTTGAGACTTTAGTCTTATGGCTTGTGTCTCTTAAGTTTGGCTTGTATCATACTAGAGATAGATATGACATTTCGGGTTGGGCTTTGACCTTTGGAAACATATTTAGTTCTTGCATTTGGCTAATTATGGTAAAAATAGGTTCTTAGCCTGGTTATAGTTTTTTCTTGACATTGTGTGGTGTATCTTCTCAATGTAATATTCTAGGAAGGATCGGCCCTCTGTTGTGGCTATCCCGATGTAAGATTCTAGGTGAGGCGAGGTTTCGTTGTGGCTGACCTGATATAAGATTCCGGGAGAGGCTAGGTTTCGTTTTGGTTATCCTGATGTAAGATTTTGGGAGAGGCTAGGTCTTGTTGTAGTTATTCCGATGTAAAACTTTAGAATAGCATAGGTTTCGTTGTACCTATCTCTTTGTAAGATTCCAAGTGATGGTGCATCTTGTTGTGGTTATCCCGATGTGCGATTTCAAGAGAGGCTATACCTAGTTTGCGATTATCTCAATGTCAAATTCTAGGAGAGGTTGTGTTTAGAATGTGAATACCCTGATAAGGATTCTGGGGTATCCCCTTTTAAGTTTTGTTGGCGATTCTTTGTTACTTCTAGAACTCTTTGTATCTAGTGTTCGTTCTTGTGTGCACTCATAGGGCTTATGATGGTCTGTTCGAGTTATGTCTTCTATCTTGTCTCTTGTATGCACTTTATGGGCTTATGAGGTCCAGTTAGTTTAAAGTTAGGTTGATTTACTTTGGTACTCACTTTAGATTCTCTTTATATGGTTTATGAATTTCTTTACTATTAGTGTTACCTTATATGACGTTACTTACCGTTTTACTTACTCACAGCTTATTGTGCTTTTGCAATGTCTAGCTTTGTCGGCCTATCATGCCTACTGAGTATCCATTATTTTGGTACTCGTACTGCACCATTTATCACTTTCCTCTGATGCAGATCCCATCTCCAGTCGTCCTCATTGATTCTTGTGGAGTTGCAGTTGGTATTCAGTTATTGTGGGTGAGCTAAGTGACGTCCAGAGTTGACTCATCTCCTTCGGTACATTTTGGCCAGTCTTTGTTTTTTTGAGATAGTCTGTATATTGTGTATGTCTAGTCCTGTACTCAGTTTTTGTAGTAGTTTTGTACCGATACCTACCAAGTGTTTGGATGAAACAATTGTACCTTTTGTTCTCATTCGTTGTGTATATATGACGGTTTATGTTTTTTCCGTTGTTATCTCTTTTATTTACCTTGTATTTTATTCGTGTTCGTACTTGCACTCCCTAGGCCCGCTATCTCTGTTCAAAGTTAAGGGTTAACTTACCTACTGATGAGATTTAGAAGGTGTCATCATGAGTTGAGATTTTGGATGGTAACATATAATCAAATCCAATTTGAGGGAGTTAGACATTCTAGCTATTTGTATATATTAAATGAGTCTGAAATTATAAGATGATGAGTATGTAAAATATTTATATAGGGATTCAATGAGGAAACATGGCACCTTAAGTGTGACAGATCGTCCATCACGACCATCAGGAAAGAGCAGTGTTAAGAGCTTCTTATCTTCTTTGACAATCACACTGAAAAATAACATGAAGCAGTGTTCATTTAGTTGTGGAATGAAAGTAGGATTAATAAGTATGGGGAAGTGCTAAATGACCAGAAAATATGAATAATTAGGAGTACTAAGGTAAAAATAGTTATGCATACTGAACAAAAAATATATCATATAATACTTTTAAAATTATTATTTTACATGTATGTATATGAATTTTCATGTATAATGGAAGATTAATGATTATATACTTCTTTTGAATTCAGTTTTACATATAGATATAATTTATCATATCGAATGAGACAATTTAACGATATGAAAAGAACAAGCTTTTATACGTTTATTATTAATTAGTTCTTTGATGTAATCATTATAATAAAAAAAGCAGGTAATAATTTTTTTCATGTCTCTTAAGTATAAAATTCATTCTAATTTTCACTATTAGATATGTTTTTGTAATAAAACTACGGAGCATGCAGATGCAAGATACATAATTCTGGTGGGAAAAAGTTATGCTTGATGTTGCTAAATGTATCTATTCATCCTGAAAGATAATAAGGGCAACAAGATAGTGAAAGTGTGAAACTGATGTTAAAAGTGTTTGGTAATTTTAGCTTAAAGTTAATAAATATTATAATAAAAACTTTGATTTGAATTAAAATAATAATAATAATAATGATAATAATAATAATAATAATAATAAATAGAAAATACCATACAAAAAAATGAAAGAAAAAATAAATGAAGATAAATCAGAATAAACAAAGAACGTAAGGGGAATTGATTCCAAATATTTCTCTTCATTCAAATATATAACTTGTAAAAAAAATATTATTATATTTAAAAGATTGATATGATATTTTAATTCAAATTTAATTGAAATTTGATTTGTAAGAAAGTTCTGCTTTCTTAGCCTCTCTTATATACATTTCTACAATGGTTTATAATGTTAAGCTTACTTCTCTTTTTATTTTTATTTTTAAGCTATCGATCACTAATTTTGTTGTTAAATTTTTATCAATTTTAATTCCACGTTGTACAAAATTTATCCATTATAAAATGTAAGTAGATATAATCATCGATATCTCTATTGATATCTTACGTACTGTAAAAATATCAGATAAATTGTAATAAAGGAGACTCACTGGATCACTTCGATAAAACACCAATGATGTCTCTGTTTGAGTGAACCTCCTCTTTTTCCATGACGTCCAACTAATTCCAACTGCAATTAAAATTTATTATTTTGTTTTGCTTTTTGTGGAAGATGCTTTTGTTTGATTTTAAAGGAAGAATTAATAAAACTAAACTCAGATATTTATTTTATGTATTACAAGTCACCAAGCAGGGTTATTCAAAAAAAGAAAAGAAAAGAGATAAGAGTGGATTATGCACCTATAAGCTTAACAAAACAAAGTGAAGGTGGTAAGCAAGCAAATTCAGAAATCCCATATGCTTAAGTCATACATCATCAACCCACAGAATTTTTTATTTAATCTATTAGACCATTTTTCTGAAATCTATTTAATTTAGTTCAAGCCTCTTTTTCTTCTTAATCTTATAATAACAATATGTAAAAAATATTGAGATTAAACGAGTCGAATTGGACGGGTCATGATTAAACCCGATTTTTAGCCCATTGAGCTTAGCGTAAACTTGGGTGGGTTAGGATCCAACTCTATTTCGATTCTAACTCATTTTAATATTTCTCAATTCAATCCAACCTACCCATTTGACACCTTAATATTAGATATAGAAATGAATTATAGGTATTATCCACAGTCCACAACCCTCAACACAGGGGTTCCTACTATTGGTTAGAGCCGTCAATATGGGCTAGGCCTGTTGGGCCGGCCTGGCCTAACCCGAGATTTAATAGGGCTGGGCTAAAATTTTTGGAGCCCATTTAAAAAAAAGGCTTTTTAGCCCGGCCTGAATAAGCCTGCTGATTTGTGGGGCTTGAGAAATATAGGTAGGGCCGGCCCGAGGGCTAATACAAATTAATTAAAAAATATAATATAATATTAAAATTTAAAATTAAAGAGATTCAAACTCAAAATCTATTTAAAGTTTTTTAGGAAATCACTAAGTATAGAAGTTGCATCCACCATGAAAATGTCCAAACACTTCTTGCTACTCGAAACTAGTTACATGGTTTTTCTCAAACTGGTAATATATTTTTGTGTACATTTAAATATTATAATTCTCAATTTAGTTATTTTTTAATATTTAACTAATTGAAACCGCATATAAATTGCAG